AAAGTCCGAGGAACTGCCTTCCCAGAGCCCTGGATGGAATGAAATACCCGGGACTTGGGGCAGCAGCCGCTGGGTTATCAGGAGAAGGGTCCAAGGTCCTCTCACTGCAGCCGTGCCGTTCACACGGTGGCTCTCCTCTCTGTGACTCTCGATTCCAAGCGCCATCCTCCCGCAGGGTTTGGAAGACCCTCCTGGGATCAGCTGTCCACCCCAATCAGGCAGCTCTGGGCAAGGGGATGTGTCTCGTAATGTACACATGGCTACTGAGGCCAACAGAGAGAGGCAAGGAAACACAGGTTCTAGTCTGGTTGCTCTGATCGCCCTTTGAACCTGGGCCATCGGTCAATGTTCCCTGTACAGTGTGGGGCCGAGTGCTGGCTCTGAGCAGAGCGCTAGCACCCTCCATTTCTGGACGCCATACTTCTAGTATTATGACCTAAGTTGGGGAGCTTTTTTTTATTCCAGTTGTGCTTTTTGGCTAAGTTGCATCACCTCAATCTAGTATGTCAGCCACTCATTAAACCAAGAGCTTTCTTTTGTAACATCTGAGCTATGGTCCCAACCTGCCAAGATCTGTTCATTTTTATTCTATTTCCCATTTTTAAGAGGGAGCTTTGCCGATACTATTTTTGGCTCCTAATTTAGAAAAGTTTTGTTTTGTTTAAGAAACTGAGTTGGCAGGAGAGTGAGATAATACACTCACTGAAATACCCAGAGAAATTGTAGGAATATGTAAGAGACCTAGAAATACCACTTCTAGGAATTTATCATGCAGAAATTCTCAGAGCTATAAACACAGATTTGAATAGATGTTCTTCTCATTATTTATAATTGCCAAAAAAGAAAGCGTTACAAACTCGTTTACCATCCAGCAGTGTGGAAATGTTTAAATAAATTTTGACATAATCATTCAATGATATATTTTTGCCACCAATAAAAATTTATTTACAAAGACTTCAAGATAGAGGAACATATGTATAATGTACTCTGTATATCATTTATATAGATTTAGCAGAAACCTACGTGTTCTAATTAATGTTTTGGTGTATTTCTTTCAGTTTCTTTTCTATTAAAAAGAAAAAGAAAAACCCCAAACATTAATTGTGTCTTATCTCCAGGTCATGATATTTTGGTGATGTTCTTTTCTTTTTTATGCTTTTCTATTTTTTCATTTTTAGAATGAGCATGTATGTCTTCTGTGATAGAAAGTTTTTTAAAAAAAGAAAGTTTAGCCCTGACCGGTTTGGCTCAGTGGATAGAGCGTCGGCCTGCGGACTGAAGGGTCCCAGGTTCGATTCCTGTCAAGGGCATGTACCTTGGTTGCGGGCACATTCCTAGTAGGGAGTGTGCAGGAGGCAGCTGATCGATGTTTCTCTCTCATCTTTGTTTCTAACTCAACCTGTGGGTCACAAACAATGAAAATACATCCTGCATATCAGATATTTACATTATGATTCATAATCGTAAAATTACAGTAGCAAAATTACAGTTATGAAGTAGCAACGAAAATAATTTTATGGTTGGCGTCACCACAACATGAGGAACCATATGAAAGGGTCGCAGCATTAGGAAGGTTGAAAACCACTATAATTAGAAAAGAGGATCAGAGTGATTATTTCCATCCAATATGACTAGAACCACGACAGAGATAAGCACAGGATAGCACTGGGCCCCAGGGGAGGGTACCTCGAACAGACAGGAAAAGGTAATTAGAAAGACTCTGCTAGAGTACATGCCCTTGACCAGAATCGAACCTGGGACCCTTCAGTCCGCAGGCTGACGCTCTATCCACTGAGCCAAACCAGCCAGGGCTCTTCTCCTCTCTTCTTTTTCCCTTGAAGAAGGAAAGGAGAAAGGCAGAGGGTTTGGAATCTGTACCAAAAGGAGGAAAAAAGAACTCTACATGGACACAGAGCAGTCCAAGTAAGACCCCAGAGGCTTGAAATAGTGTACAAGTTGGGGAATTATGATGTGTTCCAACCATAAAGGGACAGAAAGGATGGAAGGAGATGAGATTGGAGAAAGGGGTCTGGAATGTTAATTACAGTAATTTTGGGACTTATCGCGATTACAGCCAGTGCAGTTGTTGCAGGAGTCAGACTACTGATTTTGTAGCTGATTGGCATAAGGAGTCAGAACAATTATGGTCCGTCCAAAGACAAATCGATACCGAAATGCATGCAGAAATTGCTGATCTGCAACAAGCTGTATTAATGATAGGAGGTCAAATTGTAAGTCTGCAAAGACAAATGCATATGAAATGTGACTGGAATTATTCATCATTTTTCATTACCCGTGTACCTTATAATAAAAGTTTGTTTCCATAGGAAAAGGTTGAAAAACATTTGTTCAAGCATAAGAATCTAACAGAAGAAATTCTAGATTTACAATCTCATATACAAGAAACATTTCAGAAGGAATTGCATAGATTAACACTTGGGTTGCGGGAAACGAGTTAAGTCGGCTCGCGTGAATTGCGCGTACTCCGCGGGAGCCGTCTTAAACTCGGTTCATATAGATTTGCGGTGGAGTGCGGGAAACGTGTAAACTTGGGCCGATTGTAACTGCGTATTACCAAATATTTCATTTCAATCGAACCCATACTTCAAAAGATATAGGCATTTTAACGCGCCATCTTATATTTTGGCGGGAAATTCACCCGCAACCCAAGTGTTAACTGGGCAAAATGTGTTAAAAGATATGGTTGGGGGATTGCAACAATTAAATCCTATACACCATTTACAAGCCACTTTAGGAGCTTCTACTGGAATACTATTATTAATAATCTGTCTCTGTGTCATTTTATATTTAGTCTGCCGAAGACTCGGGAAAACCAAGCAACTAGCTAATAGAAAAGCAGCTGTGTTATCTCTAATACTCCATCAAATGAAGCAAGAAAAAAAGGGGGATTTGTAGCTGGACATTTGTAAACAAGGATCTGAAGTCCTACCAAGAAGAAGTGAATGTTCTATCACAATCTTGAGTTCCCGGAACATTTACCTTCCTGAGAAAGGATAAGATTAAATAGTCGTAGGTGTAGAGCAGAAAGGGAGGGCACAGCTGCAAGTTGTCTTCAATACGCTATTGTAATAATATAGAACAAAACATGATTTAGTTGATTAACTGCTGACGCACTAACCATGTACCAAACCCCAATAAAAGCGATGGTGAGAGTGCAGAGTTTGCTACATGCCTGAGCGAGCTGTAGCCCTCTGTCCGGCTTCAATCATCCTGTGTGCTCGTCTTACCTCTGTGTCTTCGGTTCATTAAACATCCCTCAACACCAAACCCATTAACCACAATAGTGAGTGCTTTGAGCAAATGACAGATGCACTCAAGTTTTTTCTGTCTGAATACAGTACCAATTTAGCATGGGACATTTCTTACTGTAGCCTAGGCTTTCTAGAGCTGAGGAACAACATAGATGGCTCCCCGTTACCAAAACAGGACCCACAGCTCTTTCCAGTAGTCAGTCTACTGCCCAAAGGCACTGATTCATTTGTACAACACAGACTTAAGTGCTCTCAATATGCCAGGAACTATACCTGGTTACAGAATAACTTTTCAAATTCTAGCGGAGGGTAGAAACCACAAAGAAATTGGACAACTGAAGTACAGTATGTGCTGTAAAGGAAATGACTAGGGAGATGTAATAGAGTAACCGGAAGGCCCCTCTGAAATATTTGGGATGAGACCTGAAGGTGGCAAGGAACCCAGCAAGAAAGAACCTAAAGAGAGAGCATTGTGCCCATCCATGTTGCTGACGTTACCACTCCTAATGCACTTCCCTCTGCTTGCTCTGTTCGCTCTCTACATTTCTCCTTGTTTTCTCTGTTACTTTCCCCCTTTTATGTGAAAAGGCTCGGGGTTTTTTTTCTAGAAATCGGAAGTAGAGCATTTCTGGTTATATTTGGTATAATCTTGAAGTCTTTTTAGTTTTATTTGTTTAATGTTTTTATTGATCTCAGAGAGGAAGGGAGAGGGAGAGAAACATCAATGAGAGAGAATCATTAATTGGCTGCCTCTTGCACACTCCCTATTGGGGATTGATTGAGCCTGCAACCTGGGCATATGACCTGACAGGAATTGAACCGTGACCTCCTGGTTCATAGGTGGACACTATCCATTGTACCACACTGGCCAGGCTCTTGAAGTCTTTTTAGATGTATGATTTTATTCTTTCCCAATAGACAAGGTATAATAATATCACATTTGGTGAGCTCATTTCTCATTTAGTTTCACACACTTAGTAAAATAAGTCTTTTCAGCTGTTCAAAAGACATGAACATATCTGGTTCACAACAGTTCAGATGAAATTTAGTCATTGCTGAAGTACTTGGTTCTTAGCTTGGAGCAATATTACCGACTTTTCTTTTTTAAGATCTAATTCTCTTCTCATAGTTCTTTTGAAAAAATGTTCGGAACCGGTTTGGCTCAGTGGATAGAGTGTCGGCCTGCGGACTCAAGGGTCCCGGGTTCGATTCCGGTCAAGGGCATGTACCTGGGTTGCGGGCACATCCCCAGTGGGAGATGTGCAGGAGGCGGCTGATTGATGTTTCTCTCGCATCGATGTTTCTAACTCTCTATCTCTCTCCCTTCCTCTCTGTAAAAAATCAATAAAATATATTTTTAAAAAAATGTTCGGAATAGAGAGACTAAATAGCAAATGACAAATGCACACAATACTGCATTTTTTAAAAAAAAATCCTTGATTAATAGTCAATGCTTCACAAGATAAAACTATAAGTTTATAAATTTTTTTCTCAGAAACCAGAAATAAGAAACAGTTCAAAATTTCAAAATAGTTCTTTATTAATAAAGCATTTTATAAATACACATTTTAAATTTACATGTTAGGTAAAATACATCCAAAGTTAAATGTCACTTCTCAGATTATTGTACAGAAGTCATATATACAATTCTTTTGTTTTCTAGTAATTTTATACCAGTGATTTGAAACATCCTTAAGATTTAATAATATATTGTAATAGTTTCATTTTTCACTTTTTAGAGCTTGATAGAAGACAATCAATATCCTGAATAATTTCAGAGGTTCTTTTCAATGCCACTGATACTCTCTTTTCATTAACTTCTTCTAGCAAGCTTTCTGAATAGTTTGGTTTACAATCAAAAGACTGTTCATTTTTCTTGTTAGAAATCTGGTTTAGGACACCACTATTCTCCAGTAACACTAAGTTGCTTAGTCAAGGAGTTTTTGCCCACATTTTTCATTATACAAGTGTTTTTAATTTCAGAAAGCCTGACTTCATATTAAAATAGGATTTCTCCATTGGGGGGAAGATCTTTTGGATTCATAATAGAGTTGGTACTTCAGAACTTATCAAGTCTGTTCCTCATAGATGAAGAAACCAGAGTAAAAGGGGGGAGGGGAAGAGTATGTAGGTGTGTGTTTGGATGGAGGTTTGTTGAAAGGGAGGAAATAAAAATCTCAGTAAAACTTTAAGCTAGATTTACCAAGAAAAAAAGAGAAGTCAAATAAATAAAATTATAAATGAAAGAGGAAATGACAACTGATACAACACAATACAAAGGATCGTAGGAGACTACTATAATTACATACCAATATATTGGACAATCTAGAAGAAATGGATAAATTCCAAAAACATACAATCTACCAAGACTGAATCAAACAAAGCCTGAACAGATGGAATACTAGTAAGAAGGAGATTGAATCAGGAATCAAAACCTCCCAACAAACAAGAGCCCTGGATCAGATAGTTTTAATGGTGAATTATACCAAATATTTAAGGAGGAATTAATACCAATCCTTCTCAAACTCTTTCAAAAAGTACAAGGAGGGAACACTTTCAAAGTATAAGGCCAGCATTACTCTGACAACCATAACCAGACAAAGACACTACAAGAAAACAAAAATACATGTCAATATCACCAATGAACATGCAAAAATATTCGGTATCATGTACCTTCTACAGACAAGCTACTTCTCAAATGTCTTAAGTATTCATTGAAGCTCCACAATATAGGTGTGGATTAATATAATCTATAGGGTCATGAATTAAACCTAGAATGGAAAGGAAGTAATTATGTAGGACAATACATTATGTTTAAAGGATACAGTTAAACTTCTGTATCTTTTCAAGTTCAGAAGCCACACACCTGTGGGGAAAAGAAAAGTAAGTTCATGCTAGTTATCTGATTCTTTTTTATACACAATATTTCAAATAAGCATACTTGACTGTTTTCACAAAGGTTAGAATTTTAAACAAAAAAACCTAATAAATTAGATATCTAATTACAGAAAAATTATTTTTAATCATAAGCTATCAAAAACATAGAGTTAAATATATTTAACTAAGAAAAGATTTTCTTGGGGAAAAAAGTCTTAGAGGTAACCATTTGACTTTTTTCCCCCCAGTTTTATTTATTTTTTAATCAAAAGGGGAAACGTTTTATTCCCCCCCCTTTCTCCCCTACCATTTGACATTTTAATTTTGAGTATTAGTTGGCTCTTCTACACAGATTAAACTTAAAAGAAATACACATACCAATTTTCTTCAAGAACAGAACAAGTGGGCATCTCTCTCTGACTAGTCTGCGTCAGTCTTCTGCACCATGATATTACTGTTGACAAGTATCTAGATTAAATACATTAAAAGAAATATTTAAAAAATGAACTTGTATTCTATTTATAAAAATTTCAAAAATGACTGAAAAATCAAGACAATTTGGGGAAAAGGGTAAAGAGAATATTTTAAAGTAAGGCATTTACTGGGAAATTCTCTGAATCTTCTTTTTTACTCAAAAAATTTTTTTTATTGATTTCTGAGAGGAAGGGAGAGGGAGACAGAGAAACATCAATGATGAGAGAAAACCTTCTGCAGGCCCCCTACTGGGGATCAAGCCCGAAACCCAGGCAGGTGCCCTTGATTAGAATCGAACCCAGGAGCCTTCAGTCCACAGGCCAATGCTCTATCCACTGAGCCAAACCAGCTAGGGCTTCATTGGAAATAAGGCACTTTTTTCATTATTCATCAAGGAGAAAATGATTTACTCACATTCATGATTAATAATGATGAGATTTAAGAGTCAGAACAAAGTTCAAATTCAAATGTCTAAATTCTCCTTTTAGTTTTTCAAAGAAAAATGAATTTCATTAAATTTTATCATGTGCATGTGTTTACATATAAGACTAAGTGAGCATCTGCTTTTTAAAATTTTAAATTAAAAAAAATGTATGAACCGAGAAGTCTCCAGATTTGTTGAGGTGGAAGGAAGGTAAAACATGCCACTAGGGGGGTTGTGTCCAACCCTCGGATCCCAATCCATATGTTTACGGGGAACTGAAGAGCAGAGTCTCGGGCAGGTGTCTTGAATTGCACAAAGCCTGGATGGTGGAAAGAGCACCGTGTCCATATGTGCAAGCTCCAGTTTTTCCTTCTGCGAAGCAGATGAAATCATTTACCACCGCAGACCACATGTCTTACTGAAGAAGATCAACCAGGTGATATTTATTCACCGGGAGGCGGCCCAGGATTATTTTTGCAACTTTTAACATATACACGGGCTACCTATTCTACTACTTCCCTAATAATCTCCCTTAAATAGCACACTTCATACTTTTTTTACATAAAAACATCACATAGCTGTTAAAAAATTTAAATCTCTCCTCTATGGAAATCCTAAGGGCATCTCACATACCGTCCTTTGGGGAACCCTTAGCCGATATATATCCAAACACAATAAATAGGAGATCCTAT